CCATTCATGCCGCCAGCCCTCCCTCCCGCTTCCCCTCTTCCTAGTCGACGCCAGAGGTGGTTGTCGGCTCGCCGCAGAGCCACCGATGAAGGTGCGGCGAGGATCTGGTCGCCCCCTCCTCTCGCCGCGGACTCCTCACAGTAGAGCATCCTCTGGCGGTGCGTTGGCGGACACCTCGGCTGTTGTCGATGGGATGGTGGGCTTAGAGCCTTGGGTCCTTGGTTCTTGGCCGCCAAACAAATCTGTCTTTGGTGCCCTTAGATCCAGCCATGTCGGCCCCGGGACCGACCGAGCTCGACATGGCTCTCTCCGGCGAGATGTGAATCTGCGGTAGTGTCCTTCGCCGCCGGAGGTCTTTTACGGTACCTCTAAATGAATGTGAGCCATCCATCCGTCTTAATCCGATGGTTAATCTTAGATGGTACTCCAATACAAGTCCTAGAGAGTACTACCTCAAACAAATATGGAGTACCTTGATGGTAGGGGTAAAATCGTAATCAATTGGTGATCTATTTATTTCTCAATCTTATAGAAGTATTAATTATAAATAGAAATCCAGTGCACGATTAAATAGAATGAGACGCCAATTCCGTGGGGACCTGCTCGTAAGGGCGTGAACTCATACTTCAAACATAATTTTGTGATGAACCCTAATCCCAAACCAATATCATTCGCAGAAAGAAAATCTCAAAATCAACTGTGATGAACCCCGTCCAATTCGCATGGCGGGCCTTGATGAGCGCAGGGTCATCACCACCCAGGGGATTTGAAGTAGGCTAGAGAAGTTCACACCGTGCGTTCATGCCTCACAATCCAGGTTGTGCACACCGTCATGTGCATGTGAATGGCGGCCGCCGATGGCGGTGGCTACACGAATTGGACGGGGATGGCTCCGAGAAACTGGCCCATCACAGTTGTTTGGGGAGGAATGCAGATCTTATGGCGCAACAGTTCAATTAATCTACAATTAACATGAATTCACGGATGACTATTACCAATAACTAGTGGGGCAGTGATGGGGAGGACAAAGGCTCTAGCCGCTACCACGATGAGGTAACACAGTGCGATTGCGGCGGCCACATGTGGTCGATTGCGATTGAAGAAAAGTCAAAACTAATTAGTCAAGGCAAATGATCCAGAATACCCCTGTAGATGGATGATTGGATTTATCCGGTACTCCCACCTCCTCGCAGGGAGTACCAGAGTACTTTAAAAACTCTCCGCCGTCATTGTTGCTTCGTGTTATGACAACTTCGTCATATGGTGGTGGCATTGCTGTGGAGTGCTGTAAGCACCGAAAGTTCTTCAGATCTAGTGTTGTCTTCGACGGTGAGATGCATTCTATGAATGAGGACTTGATGCAGAGGGTATGATGGTGCAGCGGCCATGGGTCATCACATGTAGCTGCTGGGATCACGGAATTAAAGGTGGTGGCGACAACACATGATTTACTTCCAGGGAGGTGCTACTCGTACACCCGGTCTCGAGCTCCGGGGTGAAAACCTAGGCCTGATCGGAGTTGGTTATACTTGGCAATGGTATTGGTATTCTGTCGTTACCTTATTGAAGGCATTGCTAGGATATGCTCTGATGTGTTCTTCCGGGTGAAAACCTAGAATTAGCCTTTGATGGTTGGATCCGGTGACTGTGGGCTCTTTAGCATCGCTCTCTTCCCGAGGCATTGTTGTTGAAGAACATCCTCATTCATGTGGTGTCATGCGATGAGTTGTGCAATTATGGTTATTGTTGTAGATTGCTGATCACGGATTTGATAGCTTCGGGGTTTTCCCTTTTTCGTCACTTTGGCATAACTTTGGCCTTTTATGACTTTGTTAATTCCCGACATGCGTGCGTGCGTGCGTGCGTGTGTGTGTGTCCTAGCTATGCACATGCCAGGTGGTGCTAAATGTGTTTGTATTCTCTTGATACTTTATTTTGAGTCAATAAAATCCACCATTTGTTGAGAAAAAGATATTGTAACTATATACATATTTTCAATATTGTTGGACTTTTCTTCATCCCCACTTGACCAAACAGGCATATAATAAGTATGTAACTCAATAGTGTTCTTAAATCATTGTCAGTTTCCCCTACTCCGAGACTTCGTCCCTTGTGATTTTCTTCTATTCTACGAACCTATGTACATATGTTGTTTACTTGGTACAAATAACATTTACAAATTACTATAAATTATCAAAAAATGCATATACAATAGTTAATGGATGGAAAATGACGATATAAAGATTAACATGATGTAGGGAAAACACTAAAAGTTACTCCCTTCGTCCCAAAATAAGTGTGTCAACTATGTGTTAAGTTGAGACACTTATTTTTGGGACGGAGCTTATGTAACTTATTGTGCACTAGTTCATCTTCATATCAATACAACCCTTAAATGATTGCATTTCCATGCCAATATACATTTGTCATTTTTACTGTATGTGATTTTTTTCACAGTTAAAAAAAGTTATCCAGTCTCGGAGAATAGGATCATGTGGGCCCATGGTCCAAACTTGCCGATTATTTGTAGAAGTGGTAGTTTGACAACTACTATATGTAGCCATGAGCCGCCGCGGCCGCTGCCGCCACTACCGCGGCATGGCCGATGGCATTGATATGAGGCCCTCTGATGCGAAGGAGAGGGAGGGGGCAAGGTTGCCGTTGAAATTTCTATGCATGGAATGGCTAACCCCTTCGGAACCTCATCCGCTCAAGCATGAGTGGATCTTCTTGTACGATAACCCGCTAGAGAAGCCTAGGGTGGTCGTCTAGGGGATATCCATCTACACCTTCTATACCATCGAAAGGTTCTTGAGGTTTTTCCACTTTACATCCACACAATCCCCCCACTCACCCGCCCCAAAGAACATCCTAGTGCCTGATACGGCTAGACTCTCTCATTCGATAAAACAATTGGATTGTAGGAATGTTGCCGACATAAAATAATTCATCATGCTTCGCCTTGGTAAGTAGGATTTAGAGACAACAAAAATAACACATCATTATGTGAAGCCTTCAAACTTGTTACAAATGTATCAATGCATAATAGCCCTTAACACTATAATAATTTATTTGTTACGATGAGAGTTTCCTTTACCATTGTTTGTACATAGGCAACATAACAATTCAGTTTGGTGTATGTTGCTTCATTTTGGGTGTTTAGGTATGCATTAGGCTTTCGTTGATATGCTTCACTTTTTATCATATACAACATGCAATACTCTGATTTCCACTTTTGCGCTCTAGTTAGTCAATGATATGATGGTTTAAGAAGGTTTGCATTTCAACTAGATTTGTACTACCTCTCTCTCAGTTTACAGGGCGTGCGCGTACCCCTAGGTCGTCTATTTGACCAACCTAATACAAGTCATATATTACAAAAAATATACCAATATAAACTTCAAATGTTCTATTTTCAAAAGATATAATTTTTGTGTTATATAGTTTATATTAGGGTGGTCAAATTGGTAACCTAGGTATACGCGTAGGACTTGTAAACTGAGATGGAGGGAGTATTATTTTCTATCTATAAATACACTGTTTTTCCTAATTTTTAATGTCTCACAATCAATTGAGGTCTTCAATTTGAAATTGGGTCACTCGATTTTGACCGCGTAAATAATTTCTTAAGGAGCTCCTTTATTAAAGTCTTTTAATTCACTATGCTCCCTAGTCGCACAATGCTTCCTAATTTCTAAGGCCACACAATCAATGGAGGTCTTCAATTCAGGATTGGGTCATCCGATTTAACCGAGTCAACAATTTCTCAAGGAGCACTCTTATTAAATTCTGAATTCACTATGCTTCCTAATTTTGAAACACTCCGTATTTAAATTTTGGATTTGGTTAACGATTCTGACCGGGTCAACCTTTTTACAAATCATTCAACAACAACCGGCCGCAAAAATGTATCAACCCCGTGCACCCTCTCACCACCTAGAAAAAGAATGCCAACATGTGATATTGTAGCACCAATATAGTATATGTAGCCACCGACGCACATTAAGTATGGGTTGATTAGCAGATAACACCGAAACACACTATGAAAGGCCCACCATAACACCGCATTATAAATAGAAAGGAAACACACTTCATCGTCTCCTCCACTCATCAAATCAAATCCCCCCTCAGTTCCAAAATAAGGTATTTTTTTAAGTTACATTTCTTTAACTTTTATCAAGTTCAGAGCGAAAAATTCCAGATCCACAATACTAAATAAATATAAGGAAGTTCATTTCATGATGAGTCTAATGCTACCAATTTGATATTATGTATATTGAATAGTCAAACTTCAGATTTTCTAAAAAACTAACACATCTTATATTTTGAGAAGAGAGAGTAAAGAAATTATGAAAATCAAACAACACCAACGGCAAAGCAAAGCGCGTCCAACCCTTCCAGTTTTCATTATCTCTAGACGAGTTAGGCATATACTCCCTCCGTCCGGTGAAAAGTGTACATATAGAAATTTTAGGTCAAATTATGAAGTGGAGTAAAAAATGCATTGGAAATGTGCAAGCCGCCATCTCTCTGCTCTTTAATTATCCTACCCCCAATGACCTAAGTGCATGTAAAAATTAAAGAGACCATGTATAGAATGCTATTGGTCTTGATTACCGTGTGATAAGAGAGAAGCATTTTTTTCTATTTTAATGTGCATTGAGAATATAGATATACACTATTTTGTGGACAAATTTTAAAGTCAAACGTACACGTTTCACCGTAGGGAGGGAGCAAGTATATACGTAGAGTATGAGAGCTCCAGCTAGCACATCTGAGCTCTAGGTTATCACGAGTTCAAAATTTCTTTTTGTTCATCCAAAACAAATAAAAAAATTATAACGAATCTTTTCATTGATTTACATATATTAAACAAGCTCAGTGATATCTTGGACAGTAACAACAATTAATAGTCTTACAATTATCAACTACTTCTGTCCGTGAAAACAAATTTATTTATGACTCCCACACACGGATGGTGGCCACATTGAAGCCACATTTTAGTTAGCCTGAGCAGTAACCATGGAGATGCCAACATGGTGGCCAAACCTTGCCACTTCGCAGTCAGTGGCAAAGATGCCAGAGGAGACATACCTAGTAGCACCACCCATGACCGGCATGTTAGCAGTCATGCTAAGCTTGTTGACGTAATCGGAGCGATAGGTCTGCCCTAGCACGCCGTGGACATCGTCAGTAAGGTTGTTGAACTTGAACCCGATGTCCAAATGTGCAAGGCTGTCATCCTTGGTCACACCATAATTATGGATGCGGGAGTCCTCCTCAGTGATGGGCAGAACTTTAGCCATGATATCGAACACTCCCTGGAGCTGCACCCTCACACCGTTGGTGACAGCAGTCCTAGTGACGGTCAACCCTGGAATGATGTCAGACTCCCATTTGGCACCAAGGTTGGCAGGGATTTCAATAGATGCTCCGTCGAAGGCCATCTCTAGGCGGTCAATGTCGTTGTTCCACTCAATGGTCTTCTGGGCACCCATATACAGCTGATGGTCGGCGAAGCGGATGCCTAGAGCCTGGATCCAGGTGAAGTCACGGCTCATGGTGGGGTTGCGCTTGCCGATGAAATGAGCGTTGATGTGGAGGTCGGCATCGGAGAGGACACAGAAGTCCTGATCCTTCTTGCCGTGGAAGTAGAAGTTGTTGCCGTCGGCACCAGTGAAGCGTGGGTCCCCGCACGACATGCCGGGGTAGAAGTCGCACACTCGTACAAAAATGTTAAGTAATTAATTTAGGCATCTCGACTTCTTAATTTGTATGGACATAGCTAGTATGTGTGAATATATGTATAGGTGATACGCATGATGTATGTATATATGCTTACAGCAGTAGGTCTTGCAACCTGGGCACATAACGATGCACTCGTTGGGGCAGCGCTTGTCGCAGGTGGCGACGCAGGGGTTCTTCCCGTCCTTGGTGTCATCGCAGGAGATCACATGGTCCCTCTTACCGAACCGGCCCGGGTGGATCATGTGGGAGTTCTTCGGCAGCGCGGGGTCCACTGGCGCCTTCGCCTGAGCATCGGCGACGGCGATGAAGGCGCACAGGGCTAGCAAGGTTGAGATATTCTCTGTTTCCCTACTTGAAGTGACGAAGTTTCTAGCTAGGTTGAGATATTCTCTGTTTGGTAGTGACGTGCAGTTGTGATGGTGAGTTGGGAGGGATACACTGGATGGTGCCAATTTTATAGCCCAACTTGGATGTGCCTACTACTAGGTTGGTCTGAGCTTACTGGATTCATGATGAGTTGTTTATGTCTTGGATTGTGGGTTTGGGAAACGTATCGCCTTTTGATCATCCTAATTACACTCTTCTTGTTAGCTGGCTTTGGTCAACTACTGTTCCTTCTTTCCCAAACAAGAATTGATAACTAAATGAGGTGATTCTCTTTCACATGGTACTAGACAACTCCATGGCGAACCGACTTCTATATCTTGTTAGGCATATGTATGCGCGACAGGGAATCAATTATCTTTGCTGTTGGTGTCAGCAAGGCTAAACCCGCAGGGAGTCAGCTAGGCAGAAACAGAGACACGCATCTGATGCCATCCTGTCTTAACCATCCTTCACATATAGTGCATTGACTTTGCCTTTGATTGACTACTTAGCTGGTAACCACTGTTTAGTAATCACTTGCAGGCATATTTTGCTTGGTGTCCATTAGAATAACTTGCGTTGGATCCAGTTAACTAGGTAGATCTGAGTTGCATAAATTTGGACTTGGAATCAGAGTTCGAGAACAGGTGTATGTGTATACCTTTTAATTGTCCTAATCCGACTCTACCTTACCTAGCTGGCTCTCATGGTCAACTATGATTCCTTCGTTGTTAAACAAGAAGAGTATGGACTTGATTCTCTTCCATGCAGGGTACACACTTGATTAAGTCACTTCAGGGTAAATACTTCCTATCTGTTGTTGTAGAAGGACAAGTTATGGGCTGTGCAATCTCGATGTATTGATCGGTGCACCAGGCACGTTAAGTACAGAGGTGGGCCACAACCTCAACTATACAAAGGAAACAGGAGGTGGGCCCTACACACAAATATACACGTACACAATATACCCAACACCCCCCTCCCCCCGCAGTCGAAGCGGTGCCAGTGACGCAAAGACTGGAACGGAACTCCTCGAAGGTAGAAGTCGACAGTCCCTTCGTCATTACATCGGCGAACTGTTGTGCAGTCGGCACATGGAGAACCCGAATACGTCCAAAAGCCACCTGCTCGCGCACAAAGTGAATGTCCAGCTCAATGTGTTTAGTACGGCGATGATGAACGGGGTTGGCGGAGAGGTACACCGCAGAAACGTTGTCACAGTAGACAACCGTAGCCTGGGAGACGCCATGATGCAGCTCCTGAAGTAACTGTCGTAGCCAGGTGCACTCGGCAACAGCGTTGGCCACAGCTCGGTACTCAGCCTCCGCGCTGGAGCGCGAAACCGTGGGTTGTCGCTTGGACGACCATGAGACGAGTGAAGGACCGAGGTAGACGCAGTAGCCAGAGGTGGACCGACGAGTATCGGGGCAGCCAGCCCAGTCTGCATCGGAGTAGGCCACCATCTCCAGAGAAGTAGACGCCGTGAGTGTCAATCCGAGGGTCATCGTGCCGCGGATGTAACGAAGGATCCGCTTCACGAGAGCCAATGAGAGTCACGAGGGGCGTGCATGTGGAGACACACCTGCTGAACATCATACTCAAGATCCGGTCTGGTGAGAGTCAAATACTGAAGAGTGCCGACGATAGACCGGTAGAAAGGAGCATCCGACGCAGGCGAGCCCTCAAGAGCAGAGACCTTGGCCTTCGTGTCAACAGGAGTAGCAACAGGATGACAGTTGAGCATGCCAGCACGCTCAAGAAGCTCATGTGCATACTTCTGCTGATGAAGAAAGAAACCGTCCGGGCGCCGAACGACCTCAATGACAAGGAAATAATGTAGAGCACCCAGGTCCTTAATAGCAAACTCTTCACGCAGCCGGAGAGTAATCTGCTGAAGAATAGCTGCGGAGGAGGCCGTCAGGATGATGTCATCAACGTAAAGAAGCAAATATGCAGTCGTGTCACCGTGGCGATAGACAAACAGTGAGGCGTCCGAGCGAGTAACGCTGAAGCCCAGTGTCTGAAGAAACCCGGCGATCCGCTGGTACCAGGCGCGGGGTGCCTGCTTGAGTCCGTAAAGAGAGCGGGACAGCAGACACACATGGCCGGGAAGTGAGGCGTCGATGAAACCGGTGGGTTGCTCACAATACACTTGCTCCTCAAGATGGCCGTGGAGAAAGGCGTTGGAGACGTCCATCTGGTGAACCGGCCAGCTGCGGGACACGGCGAGCTGGAGGACGGTGCGGATCGTGCCCGGTTTTACAACCAGGGCAAACGTCTCAGTGAAGTCCACTCCAGCGCGCCGGCGGAAACCACAGACCACCCAGCGAGCCTTGTAGCGCTCGAGAGTACCATCCGAGCAGGTCTTATGGCGAAAGACCGACTTGCCGGTGATGACGTTGGCGCGAGGAGGCCGGGGAACCAGTGTCCATGTGCGGTTCCGTTGAAGAGCATCGAACTCTTCCTGCATCGCCGCAAGCCAGTGAGGATCACGGAGGGCGGCGCGAGCGGACGCGGGAAGAGGCGACGGCTCCGCGGTGGAGGCGGTGAGGACGTACTCGTCGCTCGAGTACCGGAGGCTCGGACGATGAACGCCGGTACGAGCGCGTGTGACTGGGCCAGGCGTCGCTGTCGGAGCCACCGGCGAGGCAGCCAGCGAGGCGGCCGGCGTCGGGGCCGGCGAGGCGGCCGGCGTCGGAGCCGGTGAGGAGGCCGGCGTCAGGGCCGGCGAGGTAGCCGGCTTCGTAGCCGGCGAGGAGGCCGGTGTCAGGGCCGGCGAGGTGGCCGGTGTCGGGGTCGGCGAGGCGGCTGGCGTCGAGGCGGCTGAAGAAGCGGCCGAGCCAGCAGCGCCCAATCCCGCGGCGCCCGAGTCGGCGGTGGCGGGTGAAGGAGGGGCGCCAGCTGCGCCGTCAAAGTCGGCCGAGGAGGCCGAGGGGGCGGGCGCCGGCGTGAGGGCGCGAGGACCGCCAAAGCCCGAAGGCGGTCCACGGGCCGAACGGGACCGTCCACCTGACGAAGTCGTCGAAGGGCCGGCGGTGGCCGGCGGTGACGAGACGACAAGAGGTACCTGCTGCTGAAATGGAAACACCATCTCATCAAAGTAAACATGTCGGGAGGTGAAAACGCGATGGAAGACGGGATCATAACAGTGATAGCCCTTAGTGTTAGGTGGGTAGCCGAGAAAGATGCGGGCGACGGAGCGGGGTGCAAGCTTATGAGGCGCAGTAGCGGCGATGCTAGGGTAGCAAAGGCAGCCGAAGATGCGAAGTCCATCATAAGAGGGGGGTGTTGGAAATATGCCCTAGAGGCAATAATAAATTAGTTATTATTATATTTCCTTGTTCATGATAATCGTTTATTATTCATGCTATAATTGTATTGACCGGAAACCGCAATACATGTGTGGATACATAGACAACACCATGTCCCTAGTAAGCCTCTAGTTGACTAGCTCGTTGATCAATAGATGGTTACGGTTTCCTGACCATGGACATTGGATGTCATTGATAACGGGATCACATCATTAGGAGAATGATGTGATGGACAAGACCCAATCCTAAGCCTAGCACAGATCTTGTAGTTCGTATGCTAAAGCTTTTCTAAATGTCAAGTATCATTTCCTTAGACCATGAGATTGTGCAACTCCCGGATACCGTAGGAATGCTTTGGGTGTTCCAAACGTCACAACGTAACTGGGTGGCTATAAAGGTGCACTATAGGTATCTCCGAAAGTGTCTGTTGGGTTGGCACGAATCGAGACTGGGATTTGTCACTCCGTGTGACAAAGAGGTATCTCTGGGCCCACTCGGTAGGACATCATCATAATGTGCATAATGTGACCAAGGGGTTGATCACGGGATGATGTATTACGGAACGAGTAAAGAGACTTGCCGGTAACGAGATTGAACAAGGTATCGGATACCGACGATCGAATCTCGGGCAAGTACAATACCGCTAGACAAAGGGAATTGTATACGGGATTGATTGAGTCCTTGACATCGTGGTTCATCCGATGAGATCATCGTGGAACATGTGGGAGCCAACATGGGTATCCAGATCCCGCTGTTGGCTATTGACCGGAGAACGTCTCGGTCATGTCTGCATGGTTCCCGAACCCGTAGGGTCTACACACTTAAGGTTCGATGACGCTAGGGTTATAAAGGAAGTTTGTATGTGGTTACCGAATGTTGTTCGGAGTCCCGAATGAGATCCCGGACGTCACGAGGAGTTCCGGAATGGTCCGGAGGTAAAGATTTATATATGGGAAGTCTTGTTTTGGTCGCCGGAAAAGTTTCACGCATTATCGGTATTGTACCGGGAGTGCCGAAAGGGGTCCGGGGGTCCACCAGGGGGTCCACCAGCCCCGGGGTGGGGGCCACATGGGCTGTAGGGGTGTGCGCCTTGGCCTATATGGGCCAAGGGCACCAGCCCCAAGAGGCCCATGCGCCAAGAGATAAGGGAAAGGGAGAGTCCCAAAGGGGGAAGGCACCTCCTAGGTGCCTTGGGGAGGATGGACTCCTCCCTAGCCGCACCCTTCCTTGGAGGAAGGGTCAAGGCTGCGCCCCCTCTTCCTTGCCCCTATATATAGTGGAGGGGAGGGAGGGCAGCCGCACCTGAAGCCCTGGCGCCTCCCTCCCTCCCGTGACACCTCCTCCTCTCCCGCAGGTGCTTGGCGAAGCCCTGCAGGATTGCCACGCTCCTCCACCACCACCACGCCGTTGTGTTGCTGCTGGATGGAGTCTTCCTCAACCTCTCCCTCTCTCCTTGCTGGATCAAGGCATGGGAGACGTCACCGGGCTGTACGTGTGTTGAACGCGGAGGTGCCGTCCGTTCGGCACTAGGATCTCCGGTGATTTGGATCACGATGAGTACGACT